CAGCACCCCCAGGCTCCACAAACGCAGGCTCAGCACCCCCAGACGCAGTACCCCCAGACGCATGACCTCCAGGCACCTCACGCGCAGGCTCAGCACCTCCAGGCTCCGTACCCGCAGGCCCCTCACGCTCAGCGCCCCCAGACTCAGCACCCCCAAGCTCCGCACCCCCAGGGACAGCACCACCGCCAACAGGACCGGAGTCACCAGTGACCTCAACAGGCGCAAGGACGGGAGGGTCTACCTGAGAAACACCTGAAGGAGCAGGACCTGGCGCGGGGAGGGGGTATACCTGGGGAGGACATGGGGCGAGAAAGAGCGGCGGGAGAGGGCGAGGAGCAGTGCGGTAGGGGAAGAGGCGGTAAAAGGGGACCGACTCGTCAAAGGTGACGTCCTGGGACGCAAAGACACGGCGCGAGGCGGGGTCGTAAAACTGCCAGCCAGGCGCGTCAGGGACAAAGCCAAGGAAGACGCAAGGAATGGCGCGAGGGGAGAGCTTGTCCGCGGTGGTATCGCTGACAAAGGCACGAGCACCCCAGACCCGGAAACGCGACGCGTCGCCAACCTTCCCCGTCCACAGCAACGTAGGCGAGGTCTCCGGCAAGGAGACACGGGGCCAAAGGTTGAGCTGATGCGCGGCGTACCGGACCGCAAACGGCCACAGAAAATGGGGGGCAGCCGCATGGATCATGGAGGTACGAGCGACCTCCATGACTAAGCCAATGCAGCGCTCAGCAACCCCATTTTGCTGCGGAGAGGCTGGAAGCGTGAAAGTCTGGCGGATGCCGTGCTCCGCACAGAAGGCTGCCAAGAGGTCTGAGGAGAACTCACCACCTCTGTCAGAGTGCAGACGCAGGACAGGAAAATCCGACTGGAACCGCTCGCGGAGCTAGAGACGAGTAGCGCGGATCCAGGGGATCAAAACATCAGGGACATCCCCCTTGCGCTGCAAGGGGAAGACCGTGGTGTAGCGCGTGTAGTCGTCGACAACCAGCAAGAAGTACCGCTCATGGCCCTGTCCACGGACGCGGGCTGGGCCCCACACGTCCAGGTGGAGAGTCTGCAGTGGAGCCTCTGTGGGAGGGAACGAGGAGGAGTGAGGAGCGGCGCGCTGCCGCCCCTCGACGCAAGGAATGCAGGGCGGCGCAGGCGAGGGAGGGAGGGCAGGCAGAGACCTGGGAAGAACAGAGACCAGAAAGCGAGAGTGCATGCTACGAAGGCGAGGCAGGGAGGGGTGACCAAGGCGGTGGTGCCACAGGAGAGTGTCGTGAGACAGCCGGCGACACTCACACTGGGTAGCTACCTGAGCAGACACGTGCAGCTGGGGAGACAAAGGGGTGGAGCGCAACGCAGTGATGAGGGTGTACAAACTGGACCCTGGCGCACGGGTGAACGTGGCCAGGTGGCGGCCGGTCTGGGAGCACGTGCAGATCGCCACACGCTGCCGGCCAGGGGTGAAGGTGTTAACACCCACATCCTGGAGGACAGCATTGCTCACCAAGTTCGTAGAGAACGAGGGGAGGTGGAGACCAGACAGCTCACCAGACGGGACCGCCGGACACGGAAGCACAGTGGAAGACCGTGCAAGCACCGGGCCCCCAGAGGGGTCAGCCAGTGAGACAGGAACAGGTGCAGGGAGGGGAGTGACTGTGGTACGGTCGCAAAAGAAACAGCGCGAAGCACCAGAGTCAAGTGTAAAGGTGTGCAAGGCCTGTGCAGGCGCAGTACCAGGGGGAGCAGACTCACAAGCACCTAGTGCTGCAGGGGCTATACCAGGGGCTATACCAGGATCCGGCAGCACACACAAGTAGCAGTCACCCTCAGCACTAACAGTCAATGCATACATGGCAGCAAGAATAGCCTCATAGTCAAGATCAAAGATAGTTACATCACGCCTAAGCAGCTCTGCATAGTTGGGGAACTCAGGAGCATCAGGAAACTTGACGCGCCAGGCGTCGCTAAGCCGAGCGAAGCAGCGCTGCTCAGTGTGAAACCCTGTGCACTGGCGACCAGCGCGGGGACCTGTGCGAATGAGATAGGGGCAGCGACCAGGACCCCCAGAAGCCCCACGCCCGGCATACCAGTCAAGAAGCTGCTGGGAAGTGGGGGTCTGGCGCGGACGCTGCTGCTGCTGCTGCGGCTGCTGCTGCTGCTGCCACTACCGCTCCCTCCTCCCCCACCACCGCCGCTGCCACCTCCACTGCTCCCAGTGCCTCCGCCGCCCCCAAAACCACCTCCACCACCTCCACCCCCACGACCACCCCCACCACCTCCACCTCCCCCGCCGCCTGCACCACCGCTCCCTCCACCGCCACCCCCACCGCCACCCCCACCTCCCCTGCCACCCTTGCCGCCCCTGCCGCTGCGGCGCTTCCCACTAGGAGCGGAAGCAGCCCCGACCTCCTCAGCACCAAGGTAGTCGAGAGCAGCAGCTGCGGAGGCGTAGGAGGGGGTAAGAGGGGAGGGGGAGCACCCCTCAAAGAGGGGAGAGCGAGGAGTACCGCGAGCAGCACCTACAGCGAGGATGTTCTTCTCTGCTGCGAGGAGGTGCTTCTCGAGGTCGTCGACAGTGAGAGAATGGGGGTCAAGGGCGAGGAAGTGGTCCCTGACTGAGCGAAGAGTGTCAGGGAGGCGGGTGATGAGGAAGTAGAGAGTAAAGTACATCGGGGGGCGGTTCTCTGTGAGGAACTCGGCTGGAAGGGCGGCACGAAGGCGAGTGTCACTAGCGCGTAGGTGAGAGATGAGGTCCTCAGTGGTGGTAAACGAGGACAGGTCGGGGAACAGGTAGGGTAGCATAAGTCGACCGAGGGCTGCAGTGGCCGGGGAAGAGTAGCGGGCAACTACAGCGTCGTACAGTGCCTTGGCAGTCTTGTGCTGGCTAAAATGTGCGCGCTCTGTGATCGGCAGATGGTTGTGAATAGATAGGCGCGCAGCAGCATCGCGGGTCTCCCACTGGGAGCGGTCTAGAGCAGGTTCAGTGGCAGCAGGAGCAACGGCAATGCCCGACACGTAATCAAATAGGGAAACACCGTCCTTGGCATCAGTCATGAGGAATAGTTGCAGGTCGTCAAGCCAGGTGGAAAACTCTACTGGGCGACCGTCAGGATCGAACGCGAGCACGTTGAGAGTCGCCATGCGTGCAGTGTAGGCAAGTCGAGTGCGCAGGCGGCAAGGCAAAAGGCAAGCAAGGAGAGACTGCGTGCAAGGCTGCAGTGGCGGCTTACGGACTGCTGTGGTGGTGCACGGACTCCTAAGGCAGCACGGAGGGCAGCAGTGGGCCGCGCGTGGGCCTCTAAAGCGGCGCGTGGTGCAGCAACGGGCCGCACACGGGCTCCTAAGGCGGGGCACGGTGCAGCAGTAGGCCGTGCGCTGGCTCCTAAGGCGGCGCACGGAGCAGGGGCGGGCTACACACCGGAGGAGGCGACGCAAGGGGCCGGCGTCAGGCTGCGCGGGCGGCAGGCTGCGCGGGCGGCAGATGCGGCGCGCAGGGCCTAAGCGGGCTGTGCGCGGGCGGCTTACGCGGCGCGCGGGCCGGCGGCAGGCTGCGCGGGCGGCTGTCGTGGCACGCGGGGCCGAAACTGGGCTTAAACGAGCCTAAAAGGGCCGCGCGCGGGCTGCTTAAGTGACGCGCGCGGGAAAAAAAAAATGGGGTCGCGCGCGTGCAGCCGAGGCGCGCGCGGGCAGCAGGCAAGGCAGGCAGGCAAATGAGGTAATGTGGTAACGGGTGGGCCCTAATCTTAGGTCCTAAAGGCCTCTAGGCTCTAGATACCATCTTAGAGTATAGGCATGAGTGAAATTGACTATCGAGAGGATTGGTACCGTACAAAGGAGAAACCTAAGGGGTTGTACCCCACAGTGAGTACCCCACTAAGCCTACCCAAACTATAATGTATATATATATATATATGTTTGACACGTTGAGGCTCATACGGAGCAAAGGTATGTTGTTGTTGATTTCCGCGCGTGTACGATGAACCATCAAGACTCATTGGTGTTGCTCTGTTGTTGTTGTCGCTGTTGTTTGATTGCGCAGGAGCTGCTTGCTGGTGTTGCTCGTACAAGGACATGAAGGAGAAAAAATTCTCCATCATACTTGGGTCGAAGCTTGTTGCTTGGTTTCCGGGAGTTTCCGTTGATTCCGCAGCTGATCTTGTGGCTGTGCCTTCTTCTGTCTATAGGCCAGAAGCTGGAGGTGGAGTAGGAGTAGTACCGAGTGATCCGTTGGAGGAGCTCCTCTCATTTCGTGTAGCCATGACTTGTATTGTAAAAAAAAGGTTTAAAAGGTGATCTTGTCCTGCCTTGCTCTCATACCATGTTGGGCTGAGAAAAGCCCTTAGGAACTTTTCAGGACTAAGATCGGGTGTTGATGTAGAGTTGTAACAGCGGAAGCGTTTAATAAAGAGTTGTCGTGAACCATCTTGTGCTAGTTTGTGAGAACAAGATAAGTTGATAATAACAAAGAGATACAAGCTTTTTATATGATTACAAGGAATATGAAAAGTTCTACTTTAACTGTTTTTGCTGTTGCGGTTCGATACAGTGCCGACTCGGGTAACTCCTCAGTAACGAGTCAGTTATGTGTCCTTGCTGTCGCACTGTACGTTTCGTCAGGTCAAAGGTTGGAGACCTTTGACCTTCGCGTAACCTCCGACGGTTGACTCGGGTGCTTCTTCGCTGTAGTCAGTTCCGTTTTGTGTCGAAGCTTCGATACGACAGAAGCGTTATAAATCACTTGTTTCCAACACATACAACAGCATGACCTGGTTTTATCACACCAGACCTGAGAAAGCAGCTCATTTTTCATTCAGGTTCATTGTACTCAGACCACACTGAGTTTACTCAGGCCCCACTCAGCTCACTCGGACCCAATGAGTTTATTATTGACTTCATGCCCCGTAGATCCAATCTCAACCTTGTGGAACCACCATAACCATTTATTTTCAACTCAAAGCAGAGCATTCAAAACCAGACATTGACTCACGCACAAGGACACACCTGTGCACCTAGTGTAGCAGGGTGCAAAGCAAAGCACCCATATGTATTACCTCAGCAGCAGCTGAGCACATTAGGCTATGCTGTTGGGCTGTACGCAAATCAAAGCACATGATATGAGCAAGGGGTAAGGGGTGAGCTGAGCAGGCCCATGTAGCCAGACATGGCACGACCGTATACGGCAAATGTACCATCCACTATTCACCTCGGACACTTGTGCCTTCTTCCCCCCGCCCCACCAATCCCACGCTGTATTGTGGTGGTGGTTGTTGTTGTTGCTGCTGCTGCTGCTGCAGTGCTGTCCGGCCAGCAGTGGCCATCCAAGGTGATGCAACGGGCACAGATACTCCACCTCTCACCACCGCTCCCAACTCCCCGCCCACATCTGCTTCCATGCCTTCTCCCCCGCTACCCTCCCCCCACGTGCCCCCTCGGCCCTGCCCCACTCCACCTAAGCCTTCCCATTGCTCTGCTCCTCTCCCCAAACCGCTGTCTCTAATGTCTCCCGTGGCAGCCCCCCATGTCCCCCCTCCCTTAAAGCGACGGGCAACTTTTGGCAGTGTTGGGTTCAGAAGTTTTTTTTTTGAACCAGGCTTGCCAGCGCGAAAGTGCTGGCTGGCGAAAACCAGGATTTCGTGCGGACACTTTCCATCCGCAGTAACAGTTCGCCAGGGTTCTGGGTTTTGGGTGGCAAATGTGCACCGTCGCTTTAACCCCCCACGCCTCCCCCCCCATTCTTCCCCATGCATCTCCTGCCATGCCTGCCATGCCTGACCCCATCAGGCCCACACTGCCCTCCACCCCCATCTCCATGCTACCGTCTGCTCTCCCGCCCATCCTCACACCCATGCCCATACCCATATCCATGCCCATACTCGTTCCCATGCCCGTACCCATGCCCATGGTGGCACCTCCTCCCAGCACCGCGTGCATGGCAGCGTGCTGGCCTGCTCCCGTGTGCGCGCCCTGGAAGGCCGGCTGCTGCTGCTGCTGCTGCTGCCGGCACAGCATCTCACTGAATGCCTGCTGCGCCTCCCTGCTGCTGCCGCCACTGCTGCCGTCCCCCGCGCCATGGACCAATGGCAGCACGCCACCTGGCCGCCCTGATGACGCTGAGAGAGTGGGAGGCAGCGCCGGAAGCCTGGATGGCAGCGATGCCTCAGACACACCTGAAGCAGCACCTGAGAGACACCGCCAGGCGCCACCTGGAATATCTCCTGCCACCCCCATCTCCCCTCCTGCAACCTGCCGCCCTGCTCCTCCGCCCTGCATGCCACCACCCTCACCCTTGCCCAGCTTCCCCCCAGCCTCGGCCAAACCTGCCTCTGAGCCTCCCATAAGGACGTCCGGAGCAGCCCTCGCTAGGCTTGGTAACCAGCGTGTGCCAGGTGGCAAACCACGGGGCTGCCACATCAGCGTGGCAAGCTGCTGCTGTTGTTGTTGGTGGTGCTTCTTCTGCAGCTGCTGCTGCTGGGAAGAGAGGGATGAGGAGCCAGCAGGGAGGGGACGAAGGGTGGTGGTGGTATCCCTGGTGGTGGTGGTAGTAGTGGTGGTGGTGGGGGTGGTGGGCGTGGTGGGGATGGGGGAGGCGCAGGAGTGGGAGAGGGAGAGGGCGGGAGCAGAGGAGGAGGTAGTGGCGATGGGCGAGCAGAGAGAGTGTCTTTGGGGGGCAGGCGAGGGGGCTGGGGGGGAGGGGAGCGACGAGATGTGCATGGGGGAAGGGCGGGGTGAGAAGGCGCTGTGAGAGTGTGGCGTGGACATGGCAGCACAGGGCGGGGCGGCAGTGGCAGCAGGAGCTGCACACAGCCCGTCCCAATTCCCCCCCCCTCCCAGCACCGCCTCTCGTGCACCTCCGTGCACGCCCTCTGGAGCAGAAGCAGCGCGGGGCATGGCGGGCACCCCAGCGCCAGCAGGGGTGGCGGCAGCAGGGGTGGTGGCAGGCGGGGCAGCAGGGGAGGGCGAGGGGCGGTGGAAGAGCAGATTGGCGATGGCCCTGTCCACGGCGTTCGTGCCCGCCTCTCCTCTGCTCTCCCTGCCGGCACACAGAGGGGAAGGGGGAGGGACACGGAGAAAGGGAACGGAATAAGGCAAGAGAAGGAAGTTGCAAGGGGAAGTGAACGGGAGGCTAGAGCAGAGGAGAGTGAGATGACAGAGCGAGAGAGGGAGACGTGGCAGGGCAACTCACGGAGCGGCATGGGCGTCCACCGCGGAGTGCTGCCCACCACAGCTGTTCCGTGCCACCGACACCTCCGAAGCTGTGCACGAGGCTCGGCGGGTGGCAACAGGTGTAGGCTCGGACAAGTGGCGGCGGAGGGAGGGGGATGTGAGGGAGAGGGAGTGGGTGTGGGAGGAGAGCGCGGAGTTGGTGGAAGGCGAGTGAGGAGGCGGCGGGGGAGCAGGGGGGGAAGGGGGAGTGCCAGTGCGGTGGGAGGCGCTGTGGGCGAGGCGCAGCAAGGCATCGCGGATGAGCAGCCTGGTCGGCACGTCCAACTGCATTGAGGGGGAGGGGGGAGGGGAGGAGCAGTGATGAGGGAGCAGAGAGGCAGCAAAGCTTGATGCTACAAGGACGCATTGCTTGCTCTCCCACACGCTCTTGCCTCTCACCTTGCTCATGGTCTCGCCCAGCTGCCCCAGCACCACACACTCCACCGACCCCTCCTCCCCTTCCTCCCCCTCTCTCTTGCTGCTGCCCCCCTCCGTTCTGCCTGAAGCCTCCCCACCCCCTCCTCCTTCCACTTCACCCGCACTCCCCCTCGCGATGTACCCTGCGCCCTCACCCCTGCCAACTGCACGCCCGCCCTGCCCTCCGCCCGCCCCACATGATGCCACCACGCCACTGCCGTCTCGCCCTGCCCCTACAGCAGCTGACGTGGAAGCTGACGTGGCGAATCTCTCAAGGTTGCTGGAGCTGAGCACCACGGCCAGAGGGCGAACCGCTGCCAGGTCAGGTGGGGCCCACGCCGGAGGGTGCCTGCCTGCAGTGGTGGCACTGCCAGCACCACCACGCACATCTGTAGCGCCCACTGCTGCTGCCACTGCTACAGTCGCCAGTTCATTTGAACCCGCTGCTGCTGTTGCTGTTGCTGCTGCTGATGTTGCTGCCGTTGGTACCGTGGTGGTGGGTGGGTGGTGGTGCGTGGCAGGGGGTGTAATGGCAGCAGCGTGAGCTGCCGCACTGCATGCTGCCTGAGCGCGCAATTGCTGCTGCGCCTCCATCTGCTGCTGCTGCGCCTCCATCTCCTGCTGCAACTGCAGCTGCTGCAGGTGGGAGAGGTGCTGAGCGGTGTGCAGGTGGTGCAGGTGGTGGGCGGCATGCAGGTGGTGCAGGCGCGCCAGTTTCCTCTGCTCCAGCGCCAGCTGCACCTGAGCTGCCTTCATCTGAGCCGCCTTCATCTGAGCCGCCTTCATCTGCTGCCGCCGCCGCAGCTTCTCTATCTTTTCCGCTGGCGTCATTGCGCACGCCCCAGCTGCCCCTCCTGCTGCTGCTGCTGGTGCTGCTGGGCCTGCACTGGCAGCAGCAGCCGCCGCAGCCGCAGTGAGGACAGATGCTGCTAGAGCCGGCGTTGCAGCAGCAGGCGGGGCAGCAGGGGACGGAGGTTGCAGGGCGCGGGGTGAGAGGCGGGTGGAGGCAACAGAAGGGGAGGGACATGTGGAGAGAGGGGCAGTAGAGGTGGAAGCATGGGTGCTAGAAGGAAGGGAGGAGGCGCGAGGCAGGTGGGAAGGCGGTGGAAGGAGCGAGGCAGGCACAGAAGCAGGCCACTTGGGTGGGGGCGGGGGAGGGGGGCGGACCAACACTGCAGGCTGGCGGGCTGCAAGGCTGGCAGGAAGCAAGTGTGCTGCACCGCCCATCATGCTACCTGCCATGCTACCTGCCATGATGCCGCCACTGGCGCTCATGTAATTGCCGCTGCTCGTGCCGGCACTGCCAAGCCGTGCTGTCTCCACCTCGTGCCTCCTCGCTTGCTCTTGCTGCTCCACCCACTGCTTCTGCACCAGACTCTCATGCTGCCGCGCCTGCTGCTCCTCGCTCACCCCCTGCTGCACCTGCTGCTGATGGTACAGCAGCATCTGCCGCCCCAGCACCCGCTGCTCTTGCTGCTGCTCCTGCTGCTGCTGCTGTTGCTGCTGCTGCTGCTGTTGCTGCTGCTGCTGCTGCTGCCCCATGGCGAGGGGGTGCTGCCCCTGCCCCAGGCCGCGCGCCAGCAGGGCAGCAGGGGGCGCATTGGGGCGGAGCAGGGCGAAGGGGGCAGGCGAGGCGGGCAGTGGCGGTGAGAGGAACGCGGCCGGCACGTGGGGGGGGCGCATGCACGCAGCAGGCAGGGCGGACGCGGGTGAGGGCGCAGGCGCGGGGAAGAAGGGCAGGGCGGGGAGCGAGGAGGGCGTGGGGACAGAGCGCGGGAGAGGGGCGGTGTGGAGCGAGGAGACGGACGGGGAAGGAGGGTGCACGGAGGGAGAGGCGATGAGGGAGTGGCGCAGCAGAGGGGGCGGTGCAGAGGCCACCGTGGGCGAGGAGGACGCCAGGGGCGCACAGTGCGAGTGCGAATGCGAGTGCGAGTGAGTGTGCAGGTGCGGGTGGGTGGTGGCGGGGCGGGCGGCGGGGCCAGCAGCAGCAGCGGAGTGGGCGGTTTTTCTTGCTGCGGGTGCACGCTGCTCCCTCTCGTTGCGCCGCCGCGCCAACACTCGCCGCCGTGCCAAGTGCTGCACAGCAGGCCACAGGCGGGAGGGGCAATGGGGGTGGGGGGTGGTATGAGTGTGTGTCAAGGCAGCACGAGAGTGGTTCAGGGAAGGGAGTGCTGCGAGTGAGTGGGGCGTTGGGGTGCATGGGTGAGCGTGGAGTGTGTGGACAGATGGTGTGCGGTGAGTGCAGTGAAGCAAACGAGTCACCCTGCGCACAGAAACTTGTTGAGCAAAACGCATCACTCCCACTAGCCGCATCACTCGCACTCACCACATCGCTCACACCACTCCGTATGCCTCCACCCATCGCTGCCACTGCCTCCGCTGCTCCTCCTGCTCGTTCGTCCTTCCCCTTCCCCCCTGCCTCCCCCTCATCCTCGCCCCCCTCGCGCCTGTCGCCTGCGCGCCCCTCGTGTGCGCCCGCGCTCTCCCTTGCACACTCCGCCCCACCCTGCTCCGCGCCTCGCTCCTCCCCCCTCACTCCCTCGCTCGCCCCCACGTGTGCATCCCCGCTGCCCCCCACTCTTCCCCCATTCTCCCCCGTGCTGTTGTTTCTGAAGCCACCCTCTCCCTCCGCCATCGTCCCTCTTGCGCCCTCCGCACCCCTCTCCACCATCCCCCGCCCGCCCCTCCATGCTCCCCCCACAGCCGGAAGGGAGCGCCGATGCCCTGAGATGGGGGAGACGGGAACGGCGGGAGGGGGAAAGGGAAGGGAGAAAAGGAGACGAAGGAATCAGAACGTTGAAGCGAAGAGCAGATGACGTGGGGGCGAACAGGGGAGGGGAGCAACAGGAGAAGAAGCAACGGGAGTTGTTTGGGAGGAAGGGTGGGGAGTGAAGAAGAACTGGGGCGGGGTACTGACGGGAGTGGGCGGACGGCGAGGCCGCTGTGTTCCGCCGCTGACTCCCCGCCACTCGAACCCACTGCGCCGCCCGCCTCCACTGCCGCAGCCCCCTCCGCCTCGCCGTCCCGTCCGCCGCCACTCGCCCCTCTCTCGCCTCCATCGCACGCCCTCTCCCTCTCCCCTGCCCCCTCCTCCCCCCCTTCCCCCATGTCCGCGTCTTCCGCAACGCGCGCGTCCCCCACTCCGTCGCGCACCTCGCTCTGCTGCATCTCCATCCCCATTCCCATGCCCATGCCCATGCCCATGCTCATGCCCCTAGCGCCCCCGCGCGCATCCATGCCCATGTTGGCGCGCATGTGCGCGTCCATCATGCGCATCACCGCGCCCTCGTCCCCGCCGCCCCCCCCTATGCCACCGCCAAACTCCCCATGCCCGTAACCCATTCCGTAGCCATATCCATAGCCTGTCCCACTCCGCCCCGCTCCACCCTCCCGCTCCGCGCACTGCTGCAGCGTAAAATCGTCCGCCGCTTCCCCTTTACCCGCCTTCCGCGCGCCCTCCTCTCCCCTCTGCGCCACGTCCCGCCCGGGTGCGCTCCCGGCCTCCGCCATCCACTCCCCGAGCGCCCCGTCAGTTTCCATCTCGCGAACCGACCGCCTGTCTCCGCTTGCCCCCAATCCTTCCCCATCCGGCCGTGCGCCCCTTTCCTCCGCGCACCCCATCTCCGCCGACCAGTCCCCGTGGGCGTTGGCGGCATCCGCGGGCACGATGTGATCGTCGGCGCCGAACTCGAGCCACACCATGTCGTCGAACTGCGGGGGGGGGAGGAGGAAGGGGGGAATGGGGCGGGCGAGCGGGGGAAGGGACGAGGATGTTGAGAGGGACCGCGCACGGTGACGAGGACGGAAGGTGGACGAGAAGCGGATGATAACGAACGACGGAACTGACAGGAAAGACACGCGCGCAGGGCGAGGGGATAGCACGCAGAGTGCGGCACTCTTTGAGCCTGCTAACACGCCAAATGCTCCCTCATCGCCCACCCTCGTGCTTCTCTTGCCGGCCTACCGACCACTGGCGCCATCGCGCGACTAAACCTACCGTTCTTGCTTCAATTCATGCTACAGGTATTGCTGAAGCTACAGCGACAATTCTGCGACGGTTACTGCTACAATAAGTGTTGCAGGAATCAGCGGCCCGTACAAATGGAGACAAGCTACCCCCACGCATCTACACCATCCGCTCTTCCTCTTCGCCGCGTCCTCCCCTCCCAGCGTCTCCTCTACCGTCACCGAAGCTTCCGCTGCACCCACCGCACTCCGTCCGCGCCAGAACCCGCGGCTCCTGCTAACAGCAACGGCCTGCACGCTCACCGCCGGCAGTCCGCGAGGAGGAACTGGCAAGGTAACCCGCATGCTTCTGCGTGACGCGGCGGGCAATAGCGAGTGGGTTGCCAAGGGAAGGGGTAGGGAGGAGGCAGTGGGGCGGCGAGGGAAAGAGCGCAACGCACCGTAGACCAAGCGTTGATGGCAGGGTCCGCATCGGCGTCCCCCGCGTTCCACGGCGACGATGACATAAGTATATTGCGACCTCTAGTCGTCAGCTGAATCTAAACGGCGTAGCTGGTCGAAAATCTCTACGTGCTCTTCTGCTGCTGTAAAGTCACTGGCCTTTTCGATCTAACCCCTTAGAAATTCGCCTGCTCTGCTTCGTTTACCCCTAACGAATCCTCGTCCGACACAATATCCGTGATGGCGATGGCTGGCTACGAGGCTAGTCTACGCCGGGCCGGTTGCAGGTCCACAGTATGGTGCACGACGGATGCTGGCACGACGCCTGCTGCGCCATAGAGTATTTAGGCCTTGGGGGGAATAAACTTCTAAGCGACAATTCTACCTGCGCGAGCTAGAGCATAACGATACGACGGCGCCGAATCAATATATGTTGCACACTGCACGTGTCATCTATCAAGAAACGATATTCAAGACTTGGTCTCCGCATCGCGTGAAAGCTATTCACGATAGTCAGGGAATGGTGAAACGGAGCAGCAATGAAGAGAGTCGAAACCATACTCGGGTCGGGTGGATAGGCTGCCTGACTCTGGCAGGCACTGCAAGGCGAGGGTGGCAGTGAAACTGGTGTGGTAGGGAGGAGTGGTGGAGAGTGTTGTGTTGCGGGGCCAGGAGGGGGGAGAAACTGTGGCGATTCAAGCAACACTCGAGATGTTTGTGACCGTCGGATCAAGGTCTGCCATCCACGTCTAGCGGTTCTCTTCGACCGGATCAAGATGTTGGCTGAGAAGCGGTTGGACGATCTCCTCGCGTTTTTTGCGACGTAGGCGAGCGGATTCTGATGCGACGCAATATTTTTCCCGTCTGTCCTCGAAAGGGGTCTGAAACCCCCATGTGCGTGATGATGTCAGCAGCGAAACTGATTGTATGCATGTGGTCATAAAAGGCCGCAGAATGCCAGCGCGACGGACTCTGGATTAGCCGTGACCGCGAACAGCGTGGCGCCTCACAACGCTGTGAGGGCACCTGGCCACTAGAGGATTGCTCCCTCGTTACACGGTACTCTATCCATCCAAACCCAAGCCGGACCTATGGAACACTCAATTCTCCAGGCGTAAATGGGATACGTACGGATATTTTGAAATTAAGGGAGCCGTGCATATTATCTCCATTGATGGAGAATTAGGCTGATTGATCCATTCGAGGATAAAGAGAACTCTCAATTACTTCGGGTCATCAATCTTGGAACCAAATTTAGCTCGGTATTATTCTACACTGGAATACAAGTGTGATAAATCTGTGTTGTGCTCACGTTATTGTACGTCTGTGCCCATCTGCAACATTGAGGTACGACATCAGTGAAGCGGATCGTGCAGTATGCGGAGCCAACACGCTGGCACGCATCCCTTTCCTCCCAGTCTACCTGTCTTGTCCTGCTGTCGTCATTCCTGCCTCACCTCCATTCCACTCGTACCCGTGAGCTCTTGCACCTTTCACTTATCCAAAGCGCTTCTCGCGGCCGCCATTCTTTTACCAGCGCTCTAGAAGTGTTAATCCTAGCACCGTGCGTCTCCTCGCATCCACCTTGGGCACCCCGTCCCGTGCGTCCTCTCGTCCACCATGCTCGCCGCATCTCCCGCTCCGGCTGCCGCACTAGCGGGTGGCCTTCAGGTACCGTCGGTTTCCCTGACCCCCTCCGCGCCCGCCCGCCGTATTACACCGCAACGCGGACCAGCGTCCCATCTGCCACGCCGTCGTCGCCGCATTCCTCCTTTCTTGCGCCGTTTCGCCCATGCGTGTACACCCCCGCTTTCCCCCCGCGTCTTCCGAATCCCCTCTCGCGCTCGCCTCCTCGCTATATCGCTCCGCTCCATGCGCATCGTCCTCGTCACGCGCTCTTGCTTCCCCCCGCTCTTCCCCAACGCTTCCCCCTCCCTCCTCTTCCTCCCCCCCCCCCCTTTCTCCACTCCACCACAAACCCTTCACCTCGCCCCCGCTCGCCTTCCATTGTACTCCCCGCGGAAAGGCCGCCTGCCCGCCGCAGCATGGGGGCGCGCGGGGAGGCGCGCGGCCGTGCACAGGCTGGTTGACGGGCGGAGAACTGAGAGGCGCGCTCTCTCACAGCGCGGCCCAAAGCGGACTCTCCGCGCCGTGTCGAAAAGCGCCTTGTGGAGCGGCGAGACGCGGCGCCCCTGTTGTTTGCTCCGCGGCTGCTAAGCCCGCTTTCGGGCGGCAGATGCTGGTGAGGCGGAGGAGGGGGAGGGAGGGGTCGGGGGCGGGGAAAAGGGGTTGAGGTCACCGGGGACACGCACGGAAGTGGAGAGGAGAGGGAGCAGCATAGGAGCAAGGGGATGCGCATGGTGTGTGTGTTGTGTGGTGCCGCCCCTCGCATGCACGCGCCTGTTCCCCCCGCTGCTCACTTCTTGCCGCCCACCGCAACATCCCCTTCTACCCCCTTATAACCTTGGCTTTCCCCATTCACCCCCCGCCCTGTGTGCCCGTGTGGCGTGTGAGCAGGTGATGGTGCCACCGCACCCGCTGATCAAGCACTGGATTGCCATCCTGCGCAACGCCACCTCGCCACCCCCCATCTTCCGTCAGTCCCCGCCGCTCCAACCCTGCTCAATGCTGGTCAATGCCAGTCATTGGTGGTCAATGACTGTGAAAGCCAAAGGCCCAGTCTGTTGGCGTGAGCCAGAATGCGGTTGCCTGTGGTCCAATGTCAACCCCTGCCGTGCCCCGCATGCCTCACGTGCTGCCATGCCACCTCCCCATGTGTCGACCTGCAGGTGCCGCACTGGCCGAGCTTGGTCGCAACATTGCTTATGAAGCTACTCGTGATTGGCTGGTGAGTCAACTGTGATTGGCTGTTGAGTTGACCCATTACATGTCCTCCACACCCGTTGCAGTCTCACAGCCGCAACGACTCGACCCTACCGCCCTGCAGCGTCCTCACTCCCCCCCTCCTATGCCAACTCTTCCCCTGCTCCCAACCTCCTCCCCAACTCCCCCCCACTGCGCGGGTGGCAGCCCATGATTCAGGGCGAGGTGGCCACGCCCTGTGGTGTCGCTGAGGTGGAGGCCGTTGACCCCTACAAGCCAATTGCAGTGAGCCACGTGGCAGCCCCTTGCTGCATGCCTGTCTTGAAGCATGCTTCCCATGTGCATGAGCATGAACGAGCAGGCCACTGTTTACTGCTGTTCCGTGCATGATCACCGACCATGGCGCACCACCATTGTTTCTAGGCTAGTTGGTGATGGGCTCCTCCGCCTTCCATCTCCACTGCCCTCCTCTCTCAATCCCTCTTCCCTATTTCCCCCTCTCCTCTTTTTCTTCTCCCCCCTCCTCTCATCTCCTCTCATCTCCTCTCCTCTCCTCTCATCTCCTCTCATCTCCTCTCCTCTCCTCTCATCTCCTCTCCTCTCCTCTCATCTCCTCTCCTCTCCTCTCCGCCCCTCTCCTCTCCTCTCCTCTCCTCTCCTCTCCTCTCCTCTCAAGCGGTCCGTGTATTAGATCCGAGCAAGGTACAGACATGCACAAGGATATAAGAAGCAATGCATCTCAGCTTCTAAAACCCCCACATCCTACCTACCCTCCTTCACCCTCTAAGGCAGCTCCAATGCCGGCTCCAGGATGGCAAGGCAGTCCCCGAGGGACATTCCTTCGCCCGGCAGCGCCACAGGTGGGTTCTCCACCTGAGCCGCGTAGTTGCACTTCGTCATGAAGCTCACTGACTGCGCCCGCTGCAGCGCCACGGACCACCGCTGGCGGAACTGGTGCAGCAGCTTTGTTGCCTGGTAAGATGAGGGGGCCGCGTTGAAGAGCCGGCGCGCGCCGGTGTCGGCCAGAAGTTTGAGGAATTGAGGGACCTCCGCGCAAGGACAGCCATAGGTATCAACGGCAAGGGGGAAGAACCCGACCCACGAGGCCGTTGAGCCCTCGTAGTCGGAGATCTTCTTCTCCGCCGCCTCCCTGGCCGCCCATCCCCTGCCCTTGTCCGCGTTGGGATCCCGTGTGCTGATGGGGTCCGTGATGGTCACGTCCCCTATCCACACCGCTCCTGAGGACTTGTCCCGGATCGCAATGTCGGCTTTCTTCAGAGTGACGGGGCAGAACGTAGTCGTTTCGCTGTGAGTCATGAAGTCAGCGTCGGCGGCCATGTGTACACACGCATCGCGCAACTCATTGTGCGTGTTGGTCCGCCCCTTCCCCGTGTCGCAGCGCAGCAGGTGGTTGGGCAGGCGCCTGTCAAGGATTGCCATCTTATTGCGGCAGTCACACGCGCCAGGTGCCGAGGAGGGTAACCCCATCCTGAACTGCAGCGCATGCGCAAAGTGAGCCGGGGCAAGCCGCAGTGTCGAGTTGAAGGGGACCGCGTTGAGCCAGTCTCCTGCCCCATACCCTGAGAGTGAAAGCATGCGCTGAGTGTGCCCGCTTAGTGGGTTGAGTGGCATGATGCGTGTAGCCTGCACCTGCTCCGCGTAGCGCAGTCCGTGTACCGCGATTGCCAGCCCATGCTGCAGCTTGGCGCCCTTGGGATTAGCCCGATCGCTCTGCAGCAGCTCCTTCCCATCGTCCGGCAGTGACTCCTCACACCTCTCCAACCAGTCAAAGAGCGGGGACGTGTTGATGAAGGGCCCCACCATCTGGACCCGCGTTTCCGCCAAGGCGCCGACGGCCGACTCATCAATGGAGGTGAGCAGGTGTTGCGCTTGCGTGTAGCTTGCAAGGAACCCAACACGACCCTCCACCGAAGGGTCTGTGAGTCCCAAACCACCGAGCGAGATGGGGAGTGACGCTTGCGCCCAGGTACGTGAAATCTCGGCCTCCCCCCGTGGGTGGCGAATGCCGCAGGCAGTCAGCAACGTCTCAAACAGCTTTTTACCCCAGTCTGACCACTCCTCGACTGGCAGGGCCGAAAGCGGCGTGGTGCGGGCGACGTAAGCGATCCGCCGTGAGATGCACCGTGAGAGCAGGAGGGAAGCCAGCTGCGGCTCCATCCGCGTGATTAAGGGCAGCGGCACTCCCATGGTGTCGAGGCTGGCACGTAGGAACGCGGCGGTTGCGTCGCTGCCACCGATGAAGCTGCCAAGCACCTTCACCCCATCTTCTGTGAAAGGTACGCCCACTGGAAGCGCTGCTCCCTGCTGGCCAGCCTGAGACCAGGCCGCGCACTTGGCTGGGTTGTGGCGCAGCCCGATCTCCCCGAGGTTTCCTGTGAAGTCCTCAAATGCCGCCGCGCACATGGCTGCATCCCCAAGAAAAGTTACGTCGTCCGCATAGGCTAGACAGACCACGGAGGGGAAGCTGAGCGCCGTTTTCGTCAGCGCTGGGTGTATGGCGGCAGCGAACAGCAACGGGCCGAGGGGATCTCCCTGCCGCACCCCGGTCTCGCTCAGCAGAGGTGGGTGTGAGAAGCCAGCGTCCAGACATAGAGCCGAAGGAAGGCCGTACAGCAGTTTAACTAACGGTAAAAGTGAAGCGAGAGAGGAGTCCCGAAGAGATGTGATGATGGCGTCGCGGTTAACGCTGTTAAATGTGTTCGCCAGATCAGCCTGTAGGACCAAAGCTCCTGTGTTCACCGTGAGGTACGTGCGTGTGATGTGGATAATCGCCTCCGCCCCGCCAGGGACTGCCACGCCGAACTGGTGCGGTAGGAAGAATACACGAGCGGCCCCTGCAGTCAAAGTAAGCGCCGTCTTAGCTGCCAGGCGTGTTATGCTCTCGCCGATGGCAATTGGTCGCGTCCCCCCATCGGGCTTGCTCAGGGCAATCAATCTTGAGGCGGTGAGGAGCTCAGCCACCGCAGGAGGTAATTTTCCTGTTAATATCGTGTTGACTAGCGCGTGCAGGTGTTTCCCAACGGAGTGGTTGATCAGTGCTGCATCGCGTAAGTGTTCGAAAGTTGTTCCTGAGGGGCCCGCTCCCACCCCCATCTCGCAGCTTCCCAGCACCTTGGAGAAGACAGCAAACGGTGCCGATAGGTGAGGGTCAGGTTCTGGAAAGTTCCAGTCAGGTGGGGAGGCGGGCGCAGGTGGGTGCTTGGCGCGCAGGGCCTCCAGCACAGTTGGAGAGGGGGTGCTGACTGGCGTGGCTTCAAGTGCCATCACGGCGCGTCGTAGGCTGCCACGTCGTGCCAACCCCTCTGCCCTAGCGATGACACCAATGTCATCGGGCTGGTGTCTGGGTGGTTGGGGCCACGACAGTGAACCCACTGTTTCAGTGTATAATTTGTCCCATTCTCCAGACAGAAACTGACGAAGGCGGGCACTGACAGCCTTCCAGTCTGGGCGCCTAGGTGACAGCTGGCGAAGTGTTAATCGAGCGAGAAACAGGACGACCGTCCATGCAGAAGGTGAGTCTGGATATTTCGCCAAGCGCAGCAGCGGAACCAACAGAGCTGTGGCGAAAAGTTTGCGTGGGTCTGGTGGGAGGTGACGGGAAAGAGGTGCATGGCGAGAGTCACGCAATTTCGTCAGATCCCAGTTTGACACGCTGTCGAATAGCGTGTCGTCCTTGGCGAGTGATTCTGGGGATTTCTCCTCTGGGGCTTGGGTTGGGACGGGGTTACCGCCAGGTGCAGATTGATGTCCGGCCTGGCTAGGGGTCTGAATGTGGGAATTCGTGGTTGGGATTGGTGCAGTTACAATGTTGCCTGATGCGGCTCGGGTTGGTGTTGGGGGACCCCTCCTAATGGATCTCACTGCTGCAGCTCCCCCCGCCATGTGAGATGCTGCTGCTGCTGCTCTGCCCGCTCGAGCAGGAGTCTGAAGCTGCTCGTCGTCCAAGGACTCAGAGCTGGAAGTCGAGTCAGTGGACTCGGCTGCTACAAAGCTACTGTCTGAAGTGGAGGTTTCATTATCACCGCTCATCTCGTTTAAAGCCCGCCTCCCCGCCTGCTGGTACACGTTTTCCGGTCCACCCCCACGTGCTCTCCCCCCGCGTCCCGCAGCTCTCCTTCCGCGGCCTGCTGTTCTTCCGCCGACTTGTCGGCCGCTGAGTGTCCGCGCGCCCTCTTCCCGACGTACCGATGAGTTCCCTTGAAGCTCCTGCCTTGGGGCGAACCGCGGAGAGCGATCCAGCTCCCCGCCCGCTTCCTCCTGCGCGCCCTGCCGCGAGCGTGCCTGTCGCGCCGCCGGCGTCTGCGGATCGGATCCGCCGTCGTTTCGAAGATCAGCAGAGCGCTCTGACCTCGCGCGGGGGCCGGTCCCTGCCTCAGCCGGAGCCTGCTCACGCGGCGTCCGCCGAGCGCTACGGCGGAGTGGGTGTGGCGCACCAGGAGCATTCCCCTCGCCGACGTTCATCTGTGATTCGCGGCGATAGGCGGGAGAGCCGCAGGGAAGGTCTTCACGCTGGCCCGCGGTCGCCGCGTTCGCCTCGTCGCGTGGCGTCACGGAGTCGTTCGCGTGATCGCAGGTCACACCGCCACCGTTCGCCCGCTCGCCCTCATTCTCGTCACCGTTCGCCCGTACGCCAGTCGTCCCGTCCTCGATCGCCTCCGCGTTCGCCACGTCCCTCGAAGCGTCCACGGCTCGACTCTCCTCGTCGCGTGGTCCCTTCCCCTGAACGCCAGCGTCAGCTGGGCTCGTCTCGCCAGCAGTCGCCTGTGCGTTCGGACGCAAGTGGTCGGGGGCGTCGCGGGCGGCGGGGAGGTTATGGTCGCGGGGGAAAAGCGCGTCCAGCACCGTCCGCAATGGAGCGCCGTCTTCTGGATAGGCTTGATGACGTGGAGAAGGAGCTTCGTCGCTCACGTGCGGGGTCGGCGTCACCCCCAGCTCCTCGCGCTGCTCCCGTCGTCCCTCTCTCCGCGCTCCTGCCTCACAATCCATTCGGATCCCCGGCGCGCTCAGATCGGCCGCTGCCTGCGGGAATGGGCTTCGTAGGCGCTGGTGGCGGGCTGCCGTGGGCTCAGTATGAACCGCCGCGTCCTCTTCCTGCTCCGCGTGATCTCGCCGTGTCGTCTCACCGTGCCCGCTCGTCCGCGTTGCTTCCGCCGATGAAGAGAATTCCCACGGCGACCCTGGCCCGCCTATGGTCGCTGGCGGCGTCCCTGCAGAGCCTTGAGCGGATTCTCCAGGAGTCATATGACTCCATGCCGGTGAGCCCTCCGAGCAGGTTCTCTCAGAAACCGCGAGCTGATTGTCATGCGGCGGCGTCAGCGCTATTCGCGCTCGTAACGCCACTGCAGGTAGAGCCCTCGCCGGGAGCAGCCTCGGCCAGCCAGCTGGCTGACTCGGCCCTGGCTCTGAGGACGCTTGTAGCAGGTCCTGGTACTCCCGTTGACGTTGTAGGCGCCACCGTGTTAGTGGTCCGCCAGTTGTGGTTGAACACGAGCGGAATGCTCGCTGCGGTAGACGCGGACCGCATGTAGGTGCTCCCCCCTTGCGCGTGTAGACCCGTTCCATTATCGTGTTGCTAGGTGTCGATGCTTGCCTTGCTTGTGTCTGATGCCTAAACTACTGCTTGTTGTTCCCCCTTGTCATCCCGAGCGCGCGGCCGAAGGCCGCGCACGCGAGCGCCGGCGCGAAGCGCGAAAATTTTTCAGAATGAACTGAATACTAAGGATGAAGAAGCCACGAGAGCCTTTAAGTACTCATGGGAGAGGGCAGAAGGGTGAGTGCAAAGGCAGAAGGGGAGAGGCTAATCCTCTCTCTCTCTCTCTCTCTCGCTCTCTCGAACGATCGAGCGAAAATTTTTCAGAATGAACTGAATACTAAGGATGAAGAAGCCACGAGAGCCTTTAAGTACTCATGGGAGAGGGCAGAAGGGTGAGTGCAAAGGCAGAAGGGGAGAGGCTAATCCTCTCCTCTCCTCTCCTCTCCTCTCCTCTCCTCTCCTCTCCTCGTGCTGCCCCTCTCCACCGCGCGTGCGTCTGCGTGCGTGCATGCATGGGGGGCAGATCATCCCGGTGCTGAGAGCGGGGGCGGTCATGGCGGAGCAGATGGGGCCAGTCATTCCCCACACCATCACCTACCACCTCGGTATTGCCACCTGCCACCTCGGTATTGCCACCTGCCACCTCGGTATTGCCACCTGCCACCTCGGTATTGCCACCTGCCACCTCGGTATTGCCACCTGCCACCTCGGTATTGCCACCTGCCACCTCGGTATTGCCACCTGCCACCTCGGTATTGCCACCTACCACCTCGGTATTGCCACCTGCCACCTCGGTATTGCCACCTGCCACCTCGGTATTGCCACCTGCCACCTCGGTATTGCCACCTACCACCTCGGTATTGCCACCTGCCACCTCGGTATTGCCACCTGCCACCTCGGTATTGCCACCTACCACCTCGGTATTGCCACCTGCCACCTCGGTATTGCCACCTACCACCTCGGTATTGCCACCTGCCACCTCGGTATTGCCACCTGCCACCTCGGTATTGCCACCTGCCACCTCGGTATTGCCACCTGCCACCTCGGTATTGCCACCTGCCACCTCGGTATTGCCACCTGCCACCTCGGTAGTGCCTGTAAAGCACATTACAGGCAACACATATGGCACGTGTGCCGTCATGCTCACCACCTTGTGCACCTGGGAGCGCTCCTTCGAACATGTGCCACGTGTCATTGTCATGTGCCAGGTGCCACGTGTCATTGTCATGTGCCATGTGCCACATGTCATGTGCCATGTGCCACGTTTTCATGTGTCACTTGTCATCTGCCCCGTCAGTCATCTCTCCCTCGCTCCGTGCACGCATTCGCCCCCCCCCCCCGTGCATGCATCTCACCGCGTGCATGTGGCCAGGCTATGTGCGGGACGAGACCACGCTCCAGCCAACACTCTACCTCAACAAGTCAGTGCCCTCCGCCCCCTCCACCCCACCCCGCTCGCTGCTGCCTCCACCGCTCTGCTTCTCTGGCACTCGTTTGATCCGCCCCACCCCATCCATCCCCTTCAATGCCGCACTCACCACACCCCATCCTCGCTCCTCCCTCATGGGGAGGGGGGCGATTGATCATTCACGCCACCCACCATGCCTCTCCATGCCTCTCCACGCCTCTCCACGCCTCTCCACGCCTCTCCACGCCTCTCCACGCCTCTCCACGCCTCTCCACGCCTCACCACGCCTCACCATGCCCCTGCAAGCCTCACCATGCATCTCCCTGCCTGCCATGCCATGCCATGCCGTTCCACCACTCCACGCATGCATCACGGATGGTCCTGGATGGAGTTAACCATTGCTGCATTCTTCCCTCCCCTTCCCTTCTCGCCTCATCTCCTCTCTGCCCTCGTCTTATCTCCGCTCTCATCCCCTCCCTCCCTGCCCTGCGCGCATCCATCACCACCTCACCCATGGCATACCGTCCCTCCCCCCCTCCATGCATGCATGCGGCAGGCTGCCCAAGGCGTTCAACCCGGAGGCACAGATCATCATCGTTGATGCCATGCTGGCCACAGGTGAGTGGGCCTTGTCGCACCGCACGCCCACACATGCGAGCACGAGGACAGGTGCTCGCATGGGGACGCATGCTTGCCTGGCGCACATGCCTGTATAGGGTCTGCAGCCTGCTGGGTCCTGTCGACTGCCCGCATACACAGCATGCCCTCCACGCCTTATCCACTCTCTCATGCTCCCTTCTCACCCCACCCCATCCCACCGCACTGCACCGCATGTGGGCACAGGAGGCACGATGATGGCGACGATGGAGGAGGTGGTGGGGCGAGGTGCCAACCCCGACAACATCCGCATCGTATGCCCCACCCCGCTCCGCCCTGCCCTCGTCTGCTCTCCCCTGCCCTCCCACACCTCTCATGCCCGCTCGTCTCCTGTCGCCCCGCCCTTCCCCCTCATCCCCCTCGGCCCGCCCTGCCCTGCCCTGCCCCGCCCCGCTCCGCCCTGCCCTCCCACACCTCTCATGCCTGCTCATGTCCTGCCGCCCTGCCCTTCTCCCCCCCCCCCACCCCGCCATACCAGGCCCTGCCCTACCCCGCCCCGCCCCGCCCCACCCCGCCCTGCCCCGCCCTGCCCTGCCCTTCTTCCCCACACCTCTCATGCCCACTCACATCCTGCCGCCCTGCCCTGCCCTGACCTCTCACGCCCTGCCCTGCCTTGTCACACCCTTGTTGCCCTTCCATGTCTGTATTTCCCTGTGCTTCCATGATCTACCATTCACACCTATTCCACATGCCATGCCATGCCATGCCAGTATGCCGTGCCAGTATGCCGTGCCAGTGTGCTGTGTCTTATGCAACCCCATAATCCTCCTCTCATCACTCCCCCTCTGCTCCGCGTGTGCATGACAGATATCGGCCATAGTGGCATCGCCAGCACTCAAGCTCCTGAGTGAGAAGTACAAAGGGTGAGCCGCACGCAAGCAACCCTCTCCATCTCACTTCGCACACAAGCAACCCTCTCCATCTCACCACGCACACAAGCAACCCTCTCCATCTCACTTCGCACGCAAGCAACCCTCTCCATCTCACCACGCACACAAGCAACCCTCTCCATCTCACCACGCACACTCGCCCCTCTAGTCGTTTCACCCGTCCTGTCTGCTCTGCACCCATCTGCTGTGCACCCATCTGCTCTCCACCCATCTGCTCTGCACCCGTCTGCTCTGCCTGATGTCTATAACCCAAGCTTGGCTGCAGTCATATAACGGGTTGCCCGTGTGCCACCACCCCTGCCCCCACCACCACACATGCAGGCTGCGAGTGTACACGGGGATGATTGACGCTGACGTCAACGACCAAGGGTATGCCCGCCATGCCGTATTCCCACCCCACCCCACCTGGCTTGCCTCCGCCCTGTCGCCTTCAATGCCCACCTGCGCGCTCGTCCCCCTCTTTCCTCCTTTCTTCATCCCCTCCGTTCCCTCTCTCGGGCTCTTGACTCCCACTCGCACCCACTTGCATGCCATCCCCCCCACATCAGGTTCATTGTACCTGGACTAGGCGACGCTGGAGACAGGAGCTACGGCACCTTGTAGCACCACCAGCTGTTCGTGTGAAGAGCATGGGCTTGCAGGGAGTGCACGCACTGCCTTGCTCTACACTCTTGCTTTGGGTGCTTTCATGTTTTGTTTGGGGGGCGGGTGGGTAGATGTGCAGTGCACTGTATTGATCTACCGTGGCCTTCTTGGTTACATGTTGTGATTGTCAAGTTTATACAGAAATTAAAATTCACAGTTATGCACAGTGGGAGGCACATTACAACTGCACTATCTGTAACGTTGACGTGCCAACAAGCACAGGCAAATCAAAACACAGAGGGCCTCATGAAAAGCTCTACTCTACTCGTGTGCGGGGCGCAAAGAGCGCAGCGACTTTTAGGCGACTGGTTGCAGTGCGGGCATGTCCTTCTTGATGGCGAAGATGGCGTTCAGCACATCCTCCACCACCTGCCATGCCATGCCATGCCATGCCATGCCATGCCATGCCATGCCATGCCATGCCATGCCATGCCATGCCATGCCGTGCACCGGGGGGGGATTGGGCACACGGGTCGGTAGAGCACAGCACACACAGGGACCATGGCACAGGGCACAAGGGGGTTAGGTGCACAGCACCGGGCACGGGCGGGGTAGGAACATGGCACAGGGCACTTGGCACACCTTGCACGCCACGGGGAAGGTGGTGCAGGGCAGGGCAGGGCAGGGCAGGGCAGGGCAGGGCAGGGCAGGGCAGGGCAGGGCAGGGCAGGGCAGGGCAGGGCAGGGCAGGGCAGGGCAGGGCAGGGCAAGGCAGGGCAGGGCATGGGGCACCGTCCACAGAGCACAAGGCACAGGGCACACCTTGTCAGGGGTGGAAGCCCCCGAGGTGACGCCAATGCGGATGGGGCCGGGCGGCAGGAAACTCTCCGTCTCCTTGAGCTCGCCGTAGTACAGCTTGTGCGTTACGCGGTTACCAGGGCCAATGCGTGTGGGCTCATCCACCCAGTAGGAGGGGATGCCCTTGTGCTCCGCGATCTCCTGCAGGTGCGACGTGTTGCTGCTGTTGAGCCCGCCCACCACGATCATCAGGTCCATGGGCCTCTCCACCAGCGCATACATGGCGTCCTGCCTCTCCTGCTTGCGCTCACAGGGGGTGGGGGGGCAGTAGGGACAACGGGGCCAGGAGAAGGGGAGGTGGGAGTGGAAAGGAAAAGAAGGTATTGAGCTGGGTAGAAAGGTGTGTTGTGGAAGTGGGATGGGTTCACTGGTGCATACGTGGCGTGTCGGTGCGGCTGTCAAGCTGGGAGCCGTGGAGCGAGCAAGGGTGCACGCACTCTCTCCCACCCAGAAATACTCCTTCCCCCTCCCTGCTCTCCCCGCTCTCCTCCCTATCGGATCAATCCCCCTGTAGGTGGGTGGGTGGGAGTGCACCTGAGTGGCGTCACAGATGGTGTTGAAGCTCATGAAGTGCGAGTTGACGTTGGTGGCGCCGAACTTGCTCATCATCGTGCGCTCCAACAGCTTGCCTGCATGCACAAGCCATGCGCCACAACATCAAGCCACACCCATGGGCGACAACCATGCGCGTGAGAAGCACGTGGAGGGGGAGGGCAGAAGAGCAGCAGAGAGAGGAATGATGAGTATGGGTGTTGCCTGGGGTTGGGTTGCAGCTCACACCGTGGGGGTGGGGCACGTGGGGTGGTGGAGAGGGGGACGTGGGGTGCATTTCAGCAGCACGAGAGGGGTGTGCGAGAGAGGGAGCAGAGAGACGAGATGGCGTGGGTGGGGAGGGAGCCATGTGAGCCATGGGGGGTGAGGGGTGGTGGCGGCTGACCGATCATCTCGGTCTCGCCCTTGAGCATGGTGGTCTGGTTCGCAATGCCCAGCCGCTCCAGGTCCGTGTCCGGGTCGAATCCCTTCGACACCGCCTTGGCAAACTTCTGTGAGCCAGCATGCACGCACACGCACGTGGGGAGACGAGGGGGAGGCGGGGGACGGAAGAGGGCGTTGGGGATGGCGTGAGAAGGGGGAGTGAGGGTGATGGCATGGCATGGCATGGCATGATGAAGAGGGGAGGCAGAGGCGACAGCAGGAAGATGAAGGATTGGCACATGAGGCAGGGATGGCCGGCAGGAGTAGTCTAGTTTTGAGACGTCTCAAAACTGGATGGCCGGCAGGAGTAGTCTCAAGCAACTCGCCTGGAGGAACTCTTCCCGAGTGCCGCTGGAGCCATCGAGCTTGCCGCCCAAAATGTAGTCGCACACGTAGTGCGCCTGCAGGGACGCACGCGGACGCAGTGGGAGGGAGGGGGAGGGGGGGTGAGTGTTTGAGAGGGCAGGCACAAGCAAGATGATGGGTGTGCGTGTTAGGGTGTGTAGACACGTGTGGAGTGCGGCATGTGTTGCCCCTACGCCCAACCTTATCCGTGCCATACAGAGCTGCAGCTAGTCATTCCCTGCCACTTCTGCGCCTCCTGCCCGCCCTCACCCCCTGCCCGCCCTCCCCCCGCACCTCCTGCCCGCCCTCGCCCCCTACCCGCGCACCTCCTTCATGCCCCCACCTCCTTCCCGCCCTCATCCCCGTGATGCACGCACCTCCTCCCCGCCCTCACCCCCTGCGTGCCCGTACCTCCTTCATGTCCTTGACGACGATGTAGGTGCCGGCGTACGAGGCGGTGGCGACGGTCTCCTCGTGCGCGTACTTGCCGTGAATCACCGACGTGAACTGCCCGCGCTTGTGCTTGTCCACCGTGTCCCACACCTGCCCACCGCACACGCACCACGAGGGGACAAGCGAGAGGGGGCATGGGAGGACGAGGGAGGTTGGGAGGAGGAGGGAGCATGGGAGGAGAAGGAGGAGGGAGCATAAGAGGAGGAAGGGAATCCGGGGCAGTAAGCGGACCAGGGGGGAGAGGTAAGCATCACAGATGGTGGGGGAGAGGGTAAATGGGGGGGGGAGAAGAGGGGAGGAGAGGGGGGGGGGGGGAGGGAGGGGAGGGGAGGGGGGGGGGAGAGGGGGGGGGTGGAAGGGAGGTGAGGAGGGTTACCTTGGAGACCCAGGGGCAGGTGGTATCGACCATCTGCACGTTACGGTCGTGGAACATGGTGACCTCCTGCAGCGACGCGCCGAACGCCGGCAGCACCACCACGTTGTCGTCGCCCACCACGCTGAAGTCCTTGCTGCCGTCGCCGCGCGTCTCGATGAAACTCATCCCCATGCTCTCCATTTTCTGCCACCCGCACAAAGGGTACACCGCATGACACGCGCACCGCATAACGCGTTCAATCGACGGTCGCGGCGTGGCGAACGGAACAGAAACACGATTGCGGGAACGGGGGGGGCGAGCACGCATGACACATGGCGTGTGGCGGTGAGCTTCACGGGGGGAAGGGACGGAGGGGAAGGCGGATGGCACGCACGTCGTTGACGGTGGGGTTGTGGATGATCTCATTGGTCACCCAGATCTTCTGGTCGGGGAACTGCTTGCGCGCCTCGTACGCCATCTGCACGGCGCGCTCCACGCCCCAGCAGAAGCCGAGCGACTCGGCGAGCATCACGGTGACGTCGCCCCACGTGTACTCGTTGTTGTTCTCGCGCAGAGTCTTCACCACGTCGCCTGCACGCAGGGAGGGACGGTCGTGTGAGGAGACACACGCTCACGACCAGGCGGAGCTCCCCGCGCTGCTCGGAGGGCTCAACGACATCAGAATTCGCGGAGGACCCAACACACCAAATCTTCTATTTTCACGAAAAACGAAAGGCATTTTCTTAATAATAGCAATCTCGAGAAAAAAGTAAAATCCTGAATTCTAATGAGAAGTGCGTGCAAGGGGGCAGCTTGCAGCGGTCTTTGGGCTCACTCGTGTATTCCTGCTCCATCCGCTCCAGCATCTCCTTCTTGTACCCGAACCCGCTGCGATTGTAGTTGTCGCTCTTATTCAACGCTCGGCGGAAAGCGCGACCATCGACAGCCGCCTCGCTCTCCTCGCCATGGCACCTGATTCCTGCTGGTAGGCGCTTCGCTCCAGCAGCACGGCTCGGTATGGAAATAGGGCCTGCCGCAAAGCTTGATCGAGAAGTATAAGACGATGCAAGCACTGCCGATTGCACGGGAGCAGCAGCCATGGCGACACGAGCAGTGGCAGCAGACACAGCAGCCATGATTCGAGTACAGGTTCAAAGGTGGAGAAGGAGAAGAGAAAGTCTTGGGAAGAGCGGGGACAGAGTGGGGTTGTCTCACACAACCACAGCCACATCCTTGTTGCGACCTCAGTTACCTCAGGCGAACGATTTGCGAATTCACTTCTCTGGCAAGCGGGTGGGTACCTTATCATTTCGAAAAGGAATCGCTTTCGCGAATTGTGACTGGCCATTTCAGCCAAGAATGTGGAATTTGGAAAACGGCCAGCCAATCGCAGACTTGCTTAGGTGTTTCGGGAGCATGAATGTGTACAATAGCAATCCTCTCAATACGAGATAGAAATTTCTTATTTATTGTTCACCCTTGTTGATGATTCAGGTTCGATGTACATTATTCTAAGAAACGCTGGAAAATCAGTGTAGGTACATTATAATTTTAGAGGAGTTAAAATCATCCCACAGACCTATGTCTGAAATATTAATCAGCTTATATTCTGAATATGAATCTAATCGGCATAAAAGCCCGAACCTACATGTGGGTTGTTATGGCAATATATATGGAATAGACCTACAATAACAATACAGTGCGTTCTGTGCACCATCGCATCACAACGGCCACAGCACGGAGCGGTCACCGTTCAAACGGTGCTTTGGGCAGGCCGACTTGGTTTGGCGCCTAGTACACTCCAGCCATTCGCGTTGTAGGTCGAACGTGGCCGGAATGGCTCGACATTTCGATTCGCACAAATCGCTGCGACTCGATGCGAATGGGTGCGCAATTCGTGCTGGGGTGCATTGTGCCAGCTAGCAAGGGGTGGTGGGAGTAGAAAAGGGGGCAGAGAGAATTTCACAATGTGTGTTGCTCTGCAGAACCATCGCATTGCGACGAGGAATTTCTTGTGCGACGAACGACTTACTTGCGATCTGACTACTTGCTCTCTGTGCGCTACCTACGACTACCAGAACTTCACGAGCGACGAGAAATTCAAGCTTTGGGTTCAGGCAGAACCACGCGAATCAAATTTCACCGGCCTCTCCGAGTCAACGCTGTTGACACCGACCACTCACCCACCCACGTTCCCTTCCTGTCTGCTTCGTCCTTCACTCAATTTCACGCTTTTCTGTCTCCCTGTCGTGCAGTCCGTCTTTCGCTTGCTTCTTTGCCGTGTTTGTTGTGGTGTCCCGGCCGTCCCTTCCCTGTCTTTTCCCTGTCTACGCAATCCCCCCTCAGCCCCGCTCCAAGCGCGTCATGGAGAAGTTCACGATGACCATCGACACGCCGCCAAGGGCCGTCCGCAGCACCATCGCGAGCGGCTCCAGCCATCAGAAGCGACACGCCCACGGCACTCCCAATGCGGACCGCAGCACGCCCGCGTCCGTGAAGAGGTCGCTCAAGCTCTCCACCCCGCGCCGCACTCCTTCCCAGGTATTGCCGAACACCCAGCGAGCCGTTGGGCTCGATCCGTAGTCGCCGGATGCCAGGCAGGCGCCGATCGTCCCAGCGAATGCAGTCAGCTTCGCCTCCGCGCCTCGCGTGCGCGGATGCGCTTCTTTCCTGCTTCGCGTCGTAATTGTGATCGTGATACGCACATGAGCGCGAATTGCGGTTGACGGTGCGTGGGTTTCCCGTGGCAGGCGGACCGCTTCATCCCCAACCGCGGCGCCATGGACCTCGACATGGCTCGCTTCAACATGGCCCGTGACGTCACCACCAGCAGCGGCGCCAGGGAGAACGGCGCGTCGCACGAAGTCACATCGCCCAACGCGGTAAGTCTCGCTGCGCAGAACTGTCGCATTGTCCTTCGCCGCCTGCTTTCCTCGTCGCGTATGCCTTCTTCCCTTTCCCCGCCACTCCTCCCCGGCATCGACTTCCTCCGCATCCGCCCTCATTCTCTTTCCTCCCTCCCCGGCCGTCCCTGCCTCTATTCCCCCCTTCGCTTTCCTCCCCGCCAGGCGCAGTACCGAAAGCAACTGGCGGAGAATCTCCTCCGCGACAGCCCTTCCGCCAACACCACCCCCTCCGCCCGCCCCCGCGGCGCCAAGATCCTCTCCTTCAAGCCCGCGGGCTCCCCTTCCTCCTCCGACTCCTCCGACTTCCCCGCGCGCGGGGCGCTCTTCTCCCCCGCCGCTCCCGCTGGCGCGAGCTGCGGGAAGCGCAAGGCGTTCCGGTACGTGCCGCAGGCGGCGGAGCGCATTCTGGACGCGCCCGAGCTGGTAGACGACTACTACCTCAACCTGCTCGATTGGAGCTCCAGCAACGTCGTAGCGCTCGCGCTCGGCGCCTCCGTGTACCTCTGGGACGCCGCGACGGGCGCCATTGAAGAGCTGCTGCACGTGGGGGGCGAGGGCGCGGACGAGGGCGCGGAGAGCGCGGAGTACGTGAGCAGCGTGGCGTGGGCGGCGGACGGGAAGCACCTGGCGGTGGGGCTGAGCTCCGCGGAGGTGCAGGTGTGGGACAGCCAGCGCCTCAAGCAGGTGCGCGCGCTCAAGGGCCACGCGGGGCGCGTCGGCGCCATGGACTGGAACGGCGCGACGCTCTCGACGGGCGGGCGCGACGGCGCGATCCTCAACCACGACGTGCGCATGCGCCACCACGTGACGTCGCGCCTGGCGGGGCACGAGCTGGAGGTGTGCGGCCTTAAGTGGTCGCCGTCCGGCCGCCAGCTCGCGAGCGGCGGAAACGACAACCTGCTCCACATCTGGGATGCCTCCGCCATGGCCTCCGCCTCCGCCGCCTCCGCTTTCTCCGCGTCCTCCGGGTCCTCCGCGCGCCTGGCCAACGGCAACGCGCCGTGGCTGCACCGCCTGGACCTCCACCAGGCCGCCGTGAAGGCGCTCGCGTGGTGCCCCTTCCAAGCCAACCTCCTCGCCTCGGGCGGAGGCTCGGCGGACCGAACCATCAAGTTCTGGAACACCCAAACGGGCTCGTGCGTGCGCAGCGTAGACACGGAATCACAGGTATGCGCGCTGCAGTGGTCGCAGCACGACAAGGAGCTGCTGTCATCGCACGGGTACAGCCGCAACCAGCTGTGCCTGTGGCACTACCCCACCATGGGCAAGCTCGCTGAGCTCTCCGGCCACTCCGCGCGCGTGCTGCACCTGGCTCAGAGCCCTGATGGCGCCACCGTCGCCTCCGCTGCCGCCGACGAGACGCTGCGCTTCTGGAAGGCGTTCGGTGGGCCCAAGGGCGAGCAGGGCGGCAAGGCGGGCAGCAGGGCCGGCAGCGGCAGTGGGAGCCTTGAGCGTGGGTTCAGCAGCCGCAGCATGAGCCTCAGATAAAATGGTTGGGCTCGGTGGCAGCAGCATCAGCTTCAGTGGCAGCATCAGTGATAGCAGCATCGAATTCAGTGGCAGCATCAGTGGTAACATCATCAAATTCAGTGCCAGCATCAGTGGTAACATCATCAAATTCAGTGGCAGCATCAGTGGCAGCATCGGCAGCACTTAGTTGCTTGGAGGTCCACATGCAAGGCTCTCCCTGTGCCATGGCATGGCTGCCCGCACTCACATAACACGTTGACGCTCCATCGCAAATACACGCCAGTCTACTTGGCATGCATTGCTGTGGATCCTAGTTCTTGGGGTTGGACGCCTCTCGCTGACCCTCCCCTCGCCTTTGATTGTAACATAACATGTACATACCTGACTTGAATGACAGCTGCACATTGCACATTGCATGAGGCGTCTGTGTACCCGTACTGGAAACAGCCGGCCTAAGAAGACGGGAGGAATGTGTACAAGTGGATGAAGCGAGCAGAGCGCGTGCAGCAAAGAGTACTGTTGTGTACCACGTCAATGTGGCTTGGTCTTGCTGCGCTACTGCACTCCCATTAGGGCGTGTTCCTACGCCTCGTATCAGGCAGCACTATTCTTCAACGTTCTTCAGCATCCTAAGGCAAGGCTGTTAGGAGTAGTGAGTTTAGGAGGCCTCCTGCTGATCCTCCCCTCCCTCGATTGTAACATAGCATGTACCGGTACCTGACTTGAATGACAGTTGCACATTGCACGTGTACGGTATGTGTCAGAATAGTGAACGAGAATGAATGAACTAAGATGAAAGTGGGTACAAGTACTAACCATAATTGGGTTTTACCCCTTATGGGCTACCCCACTACAGTCTACACAATATAAGCATCATAACATTTTGACACACCCCCATAGGCAAAGTGGGGGAGAACAGGAGGTCACAAGACCAGTCACGAAAAAGCAAAGCAAGCTCAGGGTGGATCACGAAGTCACCACACATTCCGAGCACAAGCAAATGGTCACAAGGCCAGTTCACATGCAGAGTTATATAAAAGAGAACAAAAAGTGCAGAGATCATAACCTAGCAAATGTTGGCATGTTGGTTTGTATATAGATCACAGTACAAGCAAAGTGAGGCAAAGCAGGCACAAGGCCTAAAACAGTACATAAACGTTGATGATCACCAGGCTGAAGTGCCTTGGTGAATATATCAGCAGTGTTGGCCCGAGTGGCCACGTAAGCAAGACGAAGCTGACCACGCTGCTGCAACTCTCGAGCAAGGAAGTAACGCAAAACGATGTGCTTCGTCATGTGCTCCAGTCTGTGCTCCTGACATAAGGCAATCATGGCCTTGTTGTCTACGTACAGAACTGGAGGAGAGCGAGGCCGCTCTCCCAAGTCGGTCAGCAGGTAGGTGAGTCAGCGTAACTCCTCTGCAACCATGGCCCCTGCGTAGATCTCGGCCTCACAACTGGAACCGAGAACAGAAGACAAGCGGGTAGACCGCCAAGAAACAGAGCCGGAGCCAAGGCTGAAAGTATAATCCTGTGACGACCGCTGCGTAGCCAAGTCGTTAACCCAAGACGCGTCTACGTGTCCAGTGAGGACAACTGGACCCCGTCCTCCAAGCACGAGCCCCATGCCCGACGTACTGCACAAGTAGCGCAACACCCTCTTAGCGGCCTCCCATTGCTCCTCTGGTCGAAGTCTCCCAGGTGCAACGTAGCGTACCAGGATGCTAAGAGGGTAGGCAAGGTCAGGTCGAGTGCAGGTCATCAGGTACATGAGGCAGCCCACAAGCTCTGGATGCATGCCACTTGGCTCTACGGACTCGTCCGAAGGTGGAGCTGAGAGCGAGTGACCGGTACGCAGAGCAGTGGCTTGTGCTGAGGACCAGGTGAAGCCGAAGCGCTGAAGGACCTGCTGCACCATGTGTGACTGAGTCAGTGTGATGGTGCGCCGTGCTCTGTCCCGGGTGATATGCAAGCCAAGATAGTTGCACAGCTCACCCAGGTCAGTGCAGGTGTGTCTCTTCTGCAGCTCCGACTCCACAAGGGCCAGTGCCTCAGTGTCAGCAGTGGCAAAAACCAAGTCGTCAACGTACACGAGGATGTAGAACGGCGGCAGCGAAGTGTCGGCGCACAGAAACAGCGACGGGTCAGCAGTCGAAGGAGCAAACCCAAGGGCCGCAAGTGTCGTCCTCAGTGTGTCGTGCCACTCGCAAGGCGCCTAGCGGAGACCGTAGACTGGCCGCCAGAGGCTCCACTGGGTACCTGCAAGAAACGACTCAGCGAAGCCAGGTGGGCGGCGCAGCCAGATCTCCTCGTGCAGGCTGCCCTGTAAGAAAGCTGTGCTGAAGTCAAGAGAGTGAAGCTCGTAGTCACGCTGAGCGGCGACGTGCAGCAGCACCCGAAGAGTGGTCATCTTCGGGGTAGGGGAGAAGGTCTGGAAGAATTCAACTCCTTGTCGCTGACTAAAGCCTCGTGCAACGTAACGAGCCTTGAAGTCAGGCGGAGACCCAGGAACCGCTTCACCCTAAAAATCCTCATGCCATCGACTATGTTCGCCCCAGGAGGGGGAACTGCGTCGACGTAAGTGCCTGTGGACTTCGAGGATGCCATCTTTGCGTCCATGGCTGTCTGCCACTGAGAGGAGTAGGGACATGTAATCGCCTCTGCGTAAGAGCGCGGAGTTGGGATGCCTGGTGGATCTGGGTCTCCCTCAGGTGCAAGCAACATGGCCACGAGATGAGGTACAACAGCTGCAAGACACTCAAAGTCCTCCTGCCTGTCCTCAAGGACGTCCGTGCCAAGAGCACACTCATCCCCGACGGACGGAGGACAGTAAGACTCAGACTCAGCAACAAGACTAGCGGCGTAGTCGAGACGACACACAGCAGCAAAGTCAACAAGCTCAGCAACTAAGGCAGACGCAGCAAAGGACGCAAACGAAGGGTCAATTACAACAGTGGCTAGGAGACGTGGGACAGTAGGGTTGGCAGCATGAACCAAGTCAGACTCGGGGTCCGGACCGTCAGCAAGAGAGGACGCTGGATGAGACGGCAGGGGAACTCGCAGTGGAACAGAGGAAGGACGAAGTGCCATATTGTGAGTGCCGGGGACAGGAGGAGGATGCGGACGAGGAACACGGCGACCAATGCGAACAGGCGAGGCAGGACGAAACGCAGGCTCACGACGCTCTGTAAGAGACTCTGTCTGCTTAGTGTAAGGAGAAGGAGCAGGCAGTGGGGAGTCTGGCTGTACTGTGGCTGCGACTGGTCAGGCGGTGGACACAGTAAGGGAGGAGTAAGGCTAGTAGAAGACGGGAGACTAAGAACTTGGCGAAGTACCGAGCCAGGTGGCGGCAGAGACGACAGCGGCGGTGGAACGAAAAACGGTCGCCGCTGCACAGTGCCTCCAGCACCAGTACCGCCAGCTCCAGAGGCCCCAGCGCCAGCACCTTCAGCTACAGGGCCTCGAGCACCAACGCCGCCAGCTCCAGGGTCTCCAGCTTCAGCGCCTCAAGCTCCAGCGCCTCCAGCTCCAGCGCCTCCAGCTCTAGTGCCCCTAGCTCCAGCGTCTCCAGCTCCAGTGCCTCCAGCTCCAGTGCCTCCAGCTCCAGCACCTCTAGCACCTCCAGTACCAGCAGCACCACCAGCTCCGGCAGCTCCAGTACCTCTAGTACGAGCACCTCTAGGACCAGCAGCTCCAGCACCTCAGGTTCCTCCAGCTCCAGCGCCTCCAGCACCAGCAGTACCTCCAGCACCTCCAGGACTAGTAGCTCCAGCGCCTCCAGCTCCAGTGCCTCCAACAGCAGGGCCTCCAGCTCCAGCAGCGCCACTCCGAATAGCAAACCACTCTTGTAGCTGCCGCGGTGAGAGAGGCTCCCGCCGGTGAGACTGACATGGCGAGGCACCCGTAGGACCTCCAGCAGACGAAGTACCCCTAGGCTCAGCACCCCCAGACTCAGTACCCTCTGGCTTAGCACCCCCAGGCTCCGCACCCTCAGGCTCAGCACCCCCAGGCTCCGCACCCTCATGTTAGAATCTTAGGCAAGGTGGTTGGACTATCGAGAGTTTGGTACAAAAGGAAAACCTAAGGGGTTGTACCCCACAGTGAGTACCCTACTAAAGCCTACCTAAACTATAACATACAAACATATGTTTGACACACCCCCATAGGCAAAGTGGGGGAGAACAGAGGGTCACAAGGCCAGACAGGAAGTGCAAAACAAGCTCAGGGTGGATCACAACGTCACCACGCAGTCTGAGCACAAGCAAAAGGCCACAAGGCCAGCTCACATGCAGAGATATATGTGTAACAACAACAGCACAGTGATATCTACCTACAAGAGCAAGCATGCAGGTATACATATAGATCACAGTACAAACAAAACCTACAGCAACTGAGGAAGCGTAGGAACAAGGCCTAACAAAGTGCAGAAACGCTGATGATCACCAGGCGGAAGCGCCTTGGTGAATATATCAGCAGTGTTGGCCCGAGTGGCCACGTAAGCAAGACGAAGCTGGCCACGCTGCTGCAGCTCTCGAGCAAGGAAGTAACGTAGAGCGATGTGCTTCGTTCTGTGCTCCAGTCTGTGCTCCTGACATAAGGCAATGGCAGCCTTGTTGTCGACGTACAGAACTGGAGGAGAACGAGGCCGCTCTCCCAAGTCGGTCAGCAGGTAGGTGAGCCAGCGTAGCTCCTGTGCAGCCATGGCTGTGGCGTAGATCTCGGCCTCACAGCTGGAGCCGAGAACTGAAGACGAACGTGTAGAACGCCAGGAAACTGAACCAGAACCAAGGCTGAAGGTGTAACCCTGTGACGACCGCTGCGTAGCCTGGTCGTCAACCCAAGAGGCGTCCGAGTGACCAGTGAGGACAACGTCACCCCGTCCTCCAAGCACAAGCCCCATGCCCAATGTACTGCACAAGTAGCGTAGTACCCTCTTAGCAGCATCCATGTGCACCTTTCGGTGCCGACCAGGAGCAACGTAGCGAGCCAGAAGGCCAAGAGGGTACGCAAGGTCAGGAC